TAGAGAGAAACATCACTGAGGTGCTCCTCGGTTATCCTAATATCCAACTGACTAGGAAGAACTACAAATCTTCCGCCTTTATCACTAATAGAAAGTCTAATAGATTTTGAATTCAAAAGCTCTCTAACCTGGCGCATACCACATTTTTGTTGGTTTGTGAGGTTGGAGCTTCTTTTTCGTTTTTGGTAGTGATTAAGTATGCGGAGAATTTCATCCGAAAATAAACGAAATATAGGGTCAATATCGCTATTTGGTAGCTCTTGTTTAAAAGTTCGGGGAAAGGGTATTGGTGGTAGTTCTCCCCTTGATACTACTTTACCTAACCTTTCTAGCCTAACCCTGTAACGTAGCTGATCTTGAAGTTCATGCAGACTACACGTGATCCTGCGCAGAATTGGTTTAGAAATGGGTTGACTAGGTTGACTAACATCAAAATAAAGCTCTCAATAAGTGGCTATGTAACAAAATGGTATCGCAAGTCAAGTAGTAAAAACATTCTAGTTCACTGCCTCTCCTCTCATCCTTCACTCATGAAAAAAGCACTTATCAAATATGTATGTATCAAATATGTATCGTACCGGCTAAAAATGTGTGTACAGGAGAAGAGGAAAAGAAGGAATCGCGAAACCTGGCACGAAAAATTGCCATTTCCAATGGCTACGAAGTAGAAGCCACTCAGGTTACTAGTTCTTTTCCACCGAATAATAAAAAGCATTGTAACATAAAGTACGTCCAGGCTCTGAGGAAGGCGAAGTCGCCGAAACGTCAGCCATCGATCAATAACATCAAAAGCAACAACAACGACAACGAAGATCTGTACCAACCTCGCGGCCTAAGAAGATCAGTTTATAAGATCAAATAAATAAATAGATCAAAAATCAAAGATTCCGTTCTATACGATAAACTGTCGAAGATAAGATGAGCTGGACACACAATGAGTTTGAACAACAACCGACCGACAAAAGCCCTTATTGACTGAATTCCTCGGGATGCCAAGTGTACTGCACGAAGACCGCCAACAGGATGGTCAGAGTTCTTCACGAAGAGCCTATAAAGAAAGATATGATGCTCGACGAGTTCCTAGAGGTAGAAAAACCCATTTGGCTACTCTTGCACCCGACAGGGAAAAATGGAAGATTTACTGGCGCCCGCTCGAGTCAGTTGATTATTAACGGGACGACAGGTTACAGAGGTGATACAGATGATGGCGGCTTTCATGGTCGCAGCGTCGAATCGAGTCGAGTGCAGTCGAACGCCGTACGAATCAAGTAACTTCATGCAGTACTGCCGCTTTATAAGGGATGTATTATCATCGATTCCCTTCATGACAGAAGTCGATACTGCTTATAACAGCCGGAATAAAGGGAAACCAACGGATGGTCTCAACAATGTTTAATATGGAATGTCTGTCTTTGGACCATTATAGTAAGGAAACTGCTCCCAGCGAACATCAAATTTTGGTAAGTAAACCTACAAGCGTTAAACAACAAATCAATACAAAGTAATCGATGGGAACATTGATGAAACAACATGGCTGACATCTGTAATTGACGTCAACACTGAAGGGAAAATACTTTAGCATACTGACAGTGAGGTACATCCTAGTGATATTCACCACATGCTAAAGTGTAAGAATCGATAAGTTGAGGCAGATAAGATGAGCGAGTTCAAAAAAAGGCAGCAGTCCTCACATGTTGCGGAGTGCGTGGAAGTTACTCTGGAAGTTGTTTCGCTTTCTAGGCAGTGTTTTCACTAAACGTGGCTCTTATAGCGTCCTTGTACGCTTGGCGTACCGTGTGGGAGCAATGGTATATGCCACCGATGGCGTTTCAGACAGAACGCATTTGAGGATAGCCGCCGCTACTAACAACACACCGCAGACCAATTGAAAAGCAATGAACATTGACACGAGGATGAGGATCAGGATAATGATGATGATGATGATGATGATGAGGAGGATACACTGGACTGATGGAAAGCGTGACGTAGTGACGGTGATACTAAACTAATGTACAATTCGCAATTGTTATTTAACAATGATATGATGAAGTTAATGTACAATAATGACTACGTGCTGTATGACTTAACAACTACAATAACCTATATTGGTGACACACGAGACCAATACGGTAGAGATCTAAACAGCCGGCCAACCCGGACACGGCTGAACCTGGATAGTCGACGAACGTGGATAACAATTAACGAACCTATTTATATGCTTCTGGAGAAGGCGGTATTTGGCACAGGTCCAACATCTTTACCGAAAACATTCGTCGGCTACCGTTTCCATATCCTCTCAAAACCACATATCATCTGGCGGAAGACTGCTCTCGCAAACAATCTCATGCCCTTCTTGTTATTGTACGCGTGATGACTTTTGGACAGCAATAACGAACAACGAGTTCAGACCGCAAAAATAGGTTTGCATAACAAGACTGTTTACAGCGATCGAAGTTGCTAAGGACGGCATCGAAATATTTACGTACTACGACATTTGCTAGGCAACTTGAGAAACAGTGGATATGATCCTTAATACTGAAAAATACAGTAGTAGAAAGATACAAATATATATAGAAAGAAATAGAAACTATTCTGGTAATAGTTGCTATAGCTCTCTCTTACGGCCATTCGGGGTAAACAGATTCTATCGTTGGTACAAAAAGCTGGCCAGACAAAGAAACTGGTGAATGTTTCTCAGCCAACTGCTCTTTGCGCAATTCGTAATATTACCATCTCATCAGTTCGAAGGACAGCAAATGAGACAGAACAGGATGGCTTACATATGAAATTGCATTAAATTAAGCAGAATAGGCTACATATAAAGTGAGAAAGAAACTAGACACAGAGAGGATTTTGAGGATCTCTCAAAACACAGAATAGTCTGTGTACAGATAAAGTTCACGACAAATACCCAAATTAGCTCTGCTATACGGAATCACCTACCTACTACCACTCCTATCCAAAAAATAATTTCAACAGAAGAAAAGCGAGAAAAATCAGTTCCATGGGCTCCAGTAAATCAGAATTTCATCGTGGTGTCAGAAAAGAACTTGTACGTTATAAGGAAACATCTGTGCTTTCCACTGGTTCTTATTTCATAACAAAGTCTATCACTAACCAACCTATCAAGTCCACTCCAAGCTGAGATATGTTGTAGAGTTGAACGTGGACAATGTCTTCGTCTCGCTAACGAAAGTCGTTAGTTCGTGTCTTCAATACAATCAGGGAGATCCAAGAGAAGACCACTGAGGCACGCTTCTAAGATCCTTTACACGGTTAGTGGTGAATTCCAGCTGAATTGAACCATTGTTGTACTTACTATGACACAAGAAGAAAGGAAATGTTGGGATTAACCTAGAAGAAAACGAAGGTCCTTGAATTCTACGCAAATACAGCGCTCCCTGCCTCATCGTGGCTGTGAGGTGTTCCTGGGTGTTGGACAGCGATTTATAACCGGAAGATTCATTTTCCCTTGTAGGTCGTCGTCAGCTGAGAAACAGCCCGAGGTTTCCATCAAGAAACAAAGCTAAGAGTAAACCAATACCAGGATCCACTAGCGTCCTGGTATGAAACCAGTCACATGGGTGGCAAATCTCCATCTGATCCACAAGAGCGGCAACCGCTCGTAGTGATGGTGAGCATACTTTGGCTAGCCTACTGACCTCGGAACTCCGGGTAACCACAACAGCTAAACCAGCAAAGCTCCAAAAAAATGGAAATTTTGCTGGAGGCCGCACAACCAGTGAGGACGAGCCACCCAAGTATCCAAGTAAGTAATATACTACATACTATATTCAAGTAACATACTTCTAAATCAAACCATTAGACATGTAGGCAGGGTGTGTTGAAGGCAAACTGACGAATGAACAGTGGGATGAACCTCAGAATGGTACAGGCGCCCGCAATGCCGACCCTTTAAGGGTTGTAGGGACGTGTTTGTAACCTAAATCAATCGATTGTATTCACGTTCGCAAAGAACTGATGGGCAATGGAATGCTGCTTGTAGACATCGCCATGAACGAGGATCGCAAGGAAAGTAGACAAATGGAGAACTGGGGGTAGAGGACGCCCGGCTTCTGAATTTGGATCGCTACAAGCATTGTATTATTCGCAACAAACATCTTTCAAAGAATCATCGATCTGTATTTGACCATCCAGAGAATAATTTCGCTGTTAGACTGCGTCTGATTGCCAACAGTCCAGGTCCAAGACAAAATGGCATAAAAGCGAAAAAATTGACAAGAAATTCTAGAGCTAAATAGCACATTACAGAAAATGAAAGTCGAAACCCGTTCAACGGAACGCGCCAATGTTTGAAATGCGAATGACGACGTCTGCTATACTGTGAGGTCCGTGGTCACACTAAACTTTTCATATCTTCCTTCTTTTCTGGAACGTTAACTATCTTTTTATTTATGCCTACTTTTTAATGTTTGTATAGAAACTCGTCGTTGCGTGAATAGCTGGAGAATATTCGCCAAACTATGCTTCACTGCGTTTCTAATAGTTTTTGACAAATTACATTTTTAGAGCCTGTTTCCCTTTCCAATAGAGTTTCAAACAGTGCGAAGTCTCGAGGTCCAAGCTAATTAGGTAGAGTAAATGAATGGGATTTAGTAAGTTCTAATGATGAATGTTTGCCTGACCATTGTTTCATTCCCAGATTCTTCGTTTCTAATGTACTTCATTTTAGCCATCACTAGTCCTCAGATCGGTCTTGAAACCTTCAATGGAAAAGATCAGTCTAATATTCTAAATCCTAAGTGTTTTAAACCGAGTTGAGCTCCACTTTTAAAAGGGCTTATCGGACAACTAGTCTAAATCACTAAGCTGAAAGATGACCACTTCGAAATTCTGTGACTACCAAATATTATTTCTTCCCAAGCCCAGTCGTTGTTTAGCGCTTCATATGAAATCTTGAATGAATGAAACCATAGATATAGACGTGCTAACTTAGCCTATGCTAAGAGTTATCAGACTTATTGTTGAGAATGATTTAGATGTGTCAACAAGGTGGAGCAGTTTGTCTTCAAAAAAGCGGTCACATTGCATTGCGAATTTTGGCGAAACCTGGGGCAAGGACGAACTCAGTAACAAGTCGGTTTTCTTCCCTAATAGTCTAAAGAACAAAATCTGATCAAAAGACCCTTCGTGATTGCTGAATCGAATCTTTGGAATCGTCCTATGAATGTCGATCTCTGTTCTAGATGTTGGAGACGATGAGATATCCGTAGCCATCGCTGCGCCATCGCGTGAAGGCGAAGCAAACCAGGAGCTCATCGACTACATAAGGAAAGTGCTGGGGCTGAAGAAGAATGAACTGATTCTTGAGAAGGTGACTTCCTTTCTAAGATCATTTATGAGTTTCTTATATAAATCTTATATATTTCTAATGCCTAGGGTGGGAAATCTCGTTTGAAAACGTTGGTGATTGAGTCGTCTCGCATCTCACCCGAGGAAGTCATTACAAGGCTCAAAAACGCGGCAAAGGTGTGAACTGAGATCTCTTGCTGTACTTGTGTAACTTCTCTTAACATCAAAATTTACGTGTACAGTTTCCTTAAACGAAAAGCCACAAATCCCTTCCATATGTCTGTTCTAAGTCACTTTATTGCCTACGATTAAGTGTTGTTGGCATAGAGGTGTAGGAAAACATCCTCACTCTTTGATCGTATCGTCGTATTGATTGACTCCTCAGTGATACCTAGCTGAGCGCTGTGTGGTTGAGTCGCAACTATTGTGGGCTCTGCGATCACTCTTTTCTAAGCCAAATATTTCACCTCCCTTGGTGTCCTAGTTTTCTTTCTTCATGTTGATCTGTTTTTTCTTTGAGAGGACGTGAAGTCAGCTCGAAAATTGTTCTAGATTATTCTTAGAATCTAATTTGTTTAAAGCTTGTTTACTCAGTTTCTTGCTGGAATTTATTAGAGAATTCAATCCAAATAGTTAAAGGCAAAGATGTTTCTCAAACATTTTTCTGCATTTCTGATTGCTTGTATCGGAAATCAAGGACGGTTGAGGAGCACTGACGCGAAAACTTGGCAGTACACCGCTTTTCTATCAGCCGGAGTTTTGACTGCTATGGACACGTCATTTCACCTTTGACCTTTGCTAGGTCATTCGGTTTAGCACGCTTTTGACCACATCGCTCCCATTTTACTTTGTATTTATGCCTTTGGGCGGGTGTGGAACAGTGGTCGGAGGTGGCCCACAACACACGTCGAATCGATCCGCTCGCTCATGGCCCACCAAGCCTTCTATCCCTCCGGAGTCGGCAAATTGGTACCAGACTTGTCTCGAAAGATAGCAACACCGGCTCGATACATCGGTAGACCACCGCGAGTCATTGCAAAGGCCAGATATGCATTCAATCACCTTCAAACGATACTTGATGAGGTCGAATGTATGGCACATCCCTCAGAAATTGATGATCGCGGAGAGCTTGTTTTTATTTATATTTGTGGATTTACCAAAAATAGATTACAATGAGGACAGAAGGCGAAGAGTCCTAAGGCAACAACAGAATCTGTACGCAACCGTACTTACTGATGACACTAAGAAATTGGAATACCGTTAGGTACATATAAGCTAGCTAAGACAAGTTCTTGTTGTGAAAGTTATGGAGAATTTCACTCCTAATTTCGTCCTCGTGGCGCTATGTGTGCGAAAAATAGCGTTTAATTCTATAGTATTGTTGCTGCGATAATTAGCATATCAATAAACAGTGATTTAGCAGTTGTTCAGGGATTTTAGGTTCGGCTCATTTATGGGTGGGACACCGGATACTCGGAGAGCTCTTCGGTCCTAGAACTGAGCTCGGGTGGGGCGTCTTCCCTCGGTGGATAGATAGAGGTCGAAAAATTACTTAATATCATCAAATGTCGCTTAGAAACTTTATTCTACTTAGAAACGAAAGGGTTTTCTTTGGGAAAAATGTTGCTTTCAAAAGCTCATTAACCGAATTTTCTAGTTCCTCCGAGGTTATCCTACTCCATGATAATCCACTTTGGTCTTTTCTGAATGGCAGTGTCTGCTTCAAGCATTCTATGAGTAGTGTTTCCGAAGGCACAGTCAACAATATCGGTCTGTTTCTCTCCAAAATCCTTCCTTTTTCTGGAATACTATTTTGGAAACCTGTACTTATGCTGACGCGTTCAAGAGCAGCAGGCTAGCAAACCAAACATCTATCTGATACCTCTTTTTGCTACTTTGGTGCACTGTCCCTACTGCTTTTTTGACGCCCTCTCAAACTCTGATATCAAATTTCTTATCATCGTTTTCGTCTCTACATCACATTTAACCCTTACCCTTAGCAATACTGCCTTTGCTTACCTGCTCTCCCTCCTCACTCCTTTTGCCCCGTTCTTGTTCTCTCTATACTTCTGAACCAGATCATTTATGTAACATTTCTCTAAATCTCTCTCAATAGAATATCTGAAGAATTACAAGCAAAACTGTTATGGAGGTGTAAAATTTAAAATGTAGCATATAGTATGTTACAAGTGAAGAATTTTTCGTTAGAGCTAGGCAAGGTCGTTAACAGTTATAATTCCGACAATCAATGCAATTCACAAAGGCTTTACTAGTCGTCGTTTGTTTTAGTCGCAAATCCGAGTTCTCTATTTGGGTCTGGTAGCTCAAGGCTTGCGAAGAGCACCATATTTTTGATACTATGATCCTCTTATTGTTTCTGACGAAAAGTAGTCATGAGAGAACCTTGGTTCGGTCATAACACAGTTGTCCTTCTAACTGAGTTTCCAGTTAGAGATGATGAACACATCCACAACTTTGGGGACCATGTAGTGGTACGAACCTCTCGGTGCATACGGTATATGTAGGAATACCCTGCAACTATTATGAAGAGACTAGGCATTGATTTTTTTAAGGTCGGTGGTCAGTTAGTTTTTGTAGGGTACTTAGGGGCACTTTAGCAATTGATAAGTAGAATTTAGCAACAACATAGCGTTATGGAACTTATTTGAGTTAAATGTTATTGGTGAGGCCTTTCTGTGAAGACAAGCCCACAGTGCACGGAAAGAAGCTTGCTCTATTCAAGCGCACAGAAACTTTCCCCACACTTTTTGTAATCAATCGGTACCTTATGCAACTAAGATATTCTAGAACCTCTCGTCCATGGAAAGCTTTCTCCTATATTTATAATAGTCTAGATCATTTTTTTCGGATGAGAAAAAGAAAAAAAAATGAGGATGAAGGTTTTTCTTAATTTGGCTGGTAATTGACTGTGATTTTATTGCAATTCCTATTGTACTGGTTGGTCAATGGAATATAATGCCAGTAAGTGAGGTTAAGGCAATGCGTAATAGGATGCTTAGAACTGAGGGAGCAGCTTTTTCATAGACTAAAGGTGTAACACGTTGCTTAAGTGTGGTATAGAATACAACAGTAGTGGTATAAGTAGTTGACATATTAAGAGACACATATGAGGTTATAACAGTGCAAAGAGGTTAACTTATGAGAAGGCGCGTGCGGGGTTATAGAAAAGGTAGCCTATAGTGACAGTACGATGAGTAGGCATATTAGACGTACATGTAAGCTTGTGATAATATTGCGATGAGGTTAACGCCTTAAAGAGCACCCGTAAGCTCGTGATAACATTAACATATAATGACCGCACAGTGGTGTTGATGTCTTAGAAGGAACATGTCAGTAAAATGTAGTTAACGTTGAGTAATGGCCAGGTGCAGGCAGAGTTAACACTTGGGTTTTTCTACATGGAGTAAAGCAGTAAGGTAGATACAATGATTGTAAATATGCTAGCTGAGCAAAATGCATAATGATATAAACTGTGCGAGCGGTAGATAGGCGAAGGGCGTGACGCTACCCATACCTGAACGGACGGAGGTCGCCGAGTCGGGCCACCAGGGGATGTTATTGTGCCTGGTGGCGTTCCCACTGGTTATGGAGAGGCAATAATGGAGGGCAAGTACGCAGGCCTTGGGTCACGTAATTTGAAATCGAAACGTTTACGGAATAACAACAAATATTGTTGAGAGAATGCTTACCATATACACGAGAGCGACGATAAAATAGAGGCAGTTCTTTACAGTGTAGAGAATAGCTTCTATACCTGTGATGATGAATTGAAGGTATGGAATAGAACGATATAAAAACAGACGTGGCAATATAATAAATATGGTTCGTACACTTTACAAAATTTCTTTGAATGCTGACAAAAGTATAGTTGAATGATGGCCGAGTTTTGTTGCCTTTTCATCGCATAAAATAGTTCGAGATGGTCCAAAAACAAGGGGAAGTGTATAGAAGAACATAGAGGACAACAGGATGCATAGGACATGAGGACCACCCCTAGGAAATTGAACTATAGAGTAAGAACCACAATAGAAGCCGGGTGGGCACTATAGTCAATATCACCTCAATGGGTTTAGTAGCGAGTGCGGCGAAATATTAGGCGCCGTCCCTTAAGCGCTGAGAATCGCATAGGTAACTGGACATATTTTGAGCCATTCAATGACTCCGGGTTACTACCGTATATCTTTCCCAAGGCCGACTTCCTATTAACCTCGGCATTGATTAATAATCCACTGTTCTTCTTCAATGGGCAAACACGAGTGATCCGAATCACTAGGCTATAGATCTATTTAGCGGAGTTTGCTCTTACACGGAGCTCGCAGACATCCATGAAGAGAATTTCGGAATTGGTGTAGGCCAAATATATTTACATTAGAAGTCAATCGTGAAGAGAAGAGGGTCATATAAACTTTCTGTAAAAGCTAAAAAAAAAGGATAAAGCTCCCGGCGTTGACCAATCACTGAGGGATGTGCCATGCATCCGACTTCATTAAGTATCGTTGGAGGTGACTGAATGCACATCTGGCCTTTACAATGACTCGCGGTGGATCTCGCGCCTACCGATGTATCGAGCCAGTGCTGCTATCCTCCCAGACAAGTCTGGTACCAATTTGCCGACTCCGGAGGGTTGGAAGGCTTAGTGGGCCATGAGGGCGGGAATCGATTCCACGTGTGTGTCGCAGTGGCGCCTCCAGAAACTTCCTATAGCTGTACATAATTCCCTGAGCTCTAGAGCGTTTCCACAAAAGGTAAAGCAAGGGGCTCGGTTTCGCCGTGGATAGCACATGAGCCTCTGAAAGGGTAATCGTAGGTTCAAATCCCAAATGAGGTTCCGAGTTCTTCTCACTTCATTCTTGTGGTTGTATGTTAAGAATGTTTTCTGTCAGACGTTTGGGGATTCTATAGGTGATATTTTAGGTGTGCCTAAGTACAAATTGGTTCACTGCTGCAAATCAAGTTTTGCTATAATCATTTAAACTATCGAACAATGGGCCTCATCGCAATGAACTCTCTTTAATTCTTCTCCACCTTATACTAGTAGTTACTGTCTAGGTGATTCTCTGTTGAAGTTATGTTCTGTCGTTTAGATCTGCTTATGTCAGTGAAGTTTCATTTAGAATAATGAACGGTTCCCGACCTATAATGTTCGTCACGCTAGTACAAAT